ATCAAGGTATATATTACACACCCACCTGTAAATAATAATAAAAAGATTTACAAAAGGTAAATATTACATGATAGGGAACCTCTTAAAACATATGTTTAGTAGCATAACACAATTTTATTCCATTCTATTCCATTTATTTATTTTTCAATCAAAGGGAGAGGAGAGCCGAACTCATAACCGTTCTAATACAAATTCGAATGATTTATTCCTTTTATTTATTCAACTGTGGTGGGTCCCATTCTTAATTACACCACATTCCTAATTTTTGTTCTATGCATCATGTCTATGCACGCAAGTTTTATTTATATATTTTTTATTGGGTTCGGTTCCTTCCAGTCAGACTGATTAGAAGGTGTTATTAGATCTGTGAGATTGTTTTGATAATTTGAATTGTTTAATATGTAAAAATCGTTGAATGATATATATTTAAAAAAAATTACGTTGATCGGATATCGATAGTTACGTGATCAAATCAGTTTTATATAATAAAAAAAATAAACGGTGAAAAAATAAACAATTGATAGAAATCTAATCCGATGAAATAGCTATCGATATTCGATCAAAGCGATTTTTTTATAGATATATAGTACTCGACGACTTCTACACATTAAAATATTCGGATTCTTGAAACGGGACTGTAATGAGGCCCTCATGAGCCAGCAACACCCTCCAGTAAGCGAGTCCCTTTTTTATTCATAACTCGAGGAGAATTTTGTAGGAGCTGTTGGAATTAAACTAGAGCCATTAAAAAAAGGAAAAACAGTGAAATAACAAATATTTACTATTTGGAGAGAGAACAAGCAAGAAAATATAATCAAACAAGAAAACCAATTTAATAATAACTACACAAACATAATTTTTACATAAAAATTTCATATATAATGATGCGAAATACATCCACTATTGTTGTTCATAATTTCAAAATTACTAGTAGATGGAATTTATGTAGAAAATTGTTTTTGAGAATTTTTCAAACTGGTTTATGTGACATACCCAGGATTATAACTCTAGTAAATATAGGTGCACAAAATTCATGCATATAAATATTTTATAAAAAATGTGTAATTAAAATTTAACTCTTTTATAGTAAAATTCATATTTTAAATACCCATACATTAAATATTCAGAGAGTATACATAACTCGGACTAAAGTGACTTGAACTTGGGGTTTGCATAGAGCCCAAGACATAAAGCCATTACTCATATTTATTATTTTATTTAAAAAAAAAAAAAAAAAAAGGAAGGGGGAAGAAGAGGAGGAGGAGGATTTGAGCTCCTGACATTTAACTTGTTTGGATAGGCTTTTTTTACGTGTGTTATTTTTTTTTTGGGCTTTTGGATTTTTACTTTCAATTTGGACTTTCAGTAAAGAAGAACCCACACTAAAGGGCTATTAAAATGCTGATGAAAAAGATTTTTTTCTTTGGTTAGGATTAAGATTTAATTTAGAGAATAAAATCAATATGGGGGTATTATTGACATTTGATTCAATTTTTTTACTTTAACTTAACACTTTTACATTGCCACTTTCAATTTGAGAGAGTATGATACACCTTCCGTTATCTTTAACAAAAAAATCCATAGCACTTTAATCCGCAATCATAAAAGAATTCTCTACCTATATTTTTGTTAACATATAATAGTTCTATTTTTCAAAAAATATCATTTACCCAATACTTTTATTTTGGCTAGTATTAGAGAGGCAAGAAAAATCGAAAGAATCGACCAAACTGATTGAATCGAACCAAACCAAACCAAACCAAACCGGCTATATTGGGTCAGTCTTTTAATATGAATCGGTTTGTGCAATTTTTTTTTTTTTTTTTTTTTTTTTTTTTTTTTTTTTTGTTCCCTCTGTCATCCTCTGTGTTTCTAGATCTTCTTCTTTTTTTTTCATAACTCAAAATAAATAAAAAAAAAAGAGATAAAGGAGAGAAAAGAGATAGAGCAGAGAGGATAGGAAAAATCAAAAAAATCAAACAAGAAAAAAAAAACAAAGGAAGAAAGAAACAGAAAGAAAAAGAGAGAAGAACAGAGGAAGAAGGAGAGAAGGAAGAAATGAGAAAGAGAAAAGGAGAGGAGGAAGAAGAACAGATCTATGTGTGTATACACACAGATTTATCTGTATATACACATACTGTGCTGGTTAAATCTGTGTATACATAGATCTATATATATAAGAGAGAGAGAGAGAGAGAGAGAGAGAGCCTACTGCCGCAAACCTCTTTAGCGCCGCCATCACCGTCGCAGTTTAGAAGGAAGAAGAAGAAAACCAAGGCAGAGGAGGGGAGAGAGAGAGAGAGAGGTCGGGCCATTCGAGTCTCATTTTTTTTCGAGCTACGAAGTTTTATTTGGAATTACTTGACCATCAAGTCAACAATTTTTATATTTATTTTTTTATTCATATATTTAATTTTAAGTGCTGAATTGAATTATTAAATCTCATGGATGGAAAGACGCACAATCATATCCTTTACCATGCTTGATGATGGGCTCAAGTCTCGCCCCTCTCCATCCCTTTTCAACTTTCATACATCTACAATAATTTTGATCCATCGCATTTAGATTGCATTTCAATCGCAAATGTCACTTCTATTGTTTATCAGTGTGTTTCTTTCGGGATAATCTTTGTGCTTTTTCTACTTACTTGAACTGCAGAAATCTAAAAAAGAATTACCACAAACAGATTCAATAGGGCCCTCTAAATCCAATGGAAAAAAGACTAGAAAATATTTTTTTTGTTTTTTTTTTGTTTTTTTGGTTGTGCAGAAAACAGGATACTTTAGTCTCATCCAATAATATTATCTCAAGCAGTTTTCCATCATCTTATTTTCAAATGGAATCGCTTGTGACTTCTTCACAACAGATTCTCATTCCTTCTTTTATCTTTTCTTTTAACACCGCTCATTCATCTCAATATTCTCATTTTGCTTAAGGTACACTCCACATATTTTTTCTTAATCCTATTTAACCTAAACCCGATATATTTTAAAGTATATCTCCACAATTTCAACTTTAAAACTTTCTTGTTTCATGAACTAAAATTATATCGTCCACAAATAATATACACAAAGGAATATCATCCTAATAAGGACATGGTGTTCATCCTTGACATAAAGCTATTTTTATTGGAAATATACTTATTTCTTCCCTTTACGGTTCTCACACTAGTCACCATTCCATCGCGCATGTCATTAATTACATCAAATTATCTAACTAATGCTCAGTTTTTTTCTCAAAACTCTCCACATTTCCTCTATGGAGACCCTAACATATTATTTTTATTGGTTAATAAATAACTCAAGGCAATCTTTTTTCTTTTCCTCAAATTGTCCACACTAAATAAAATTAATTCATAGCATTCACAACTCACCAAAGTTACATTAGCCACCTATGATCAATAGTCTTTCATTGGGAAAAAATAAAAAAAAGGCAACACCTAAAAAAGTGAGAAAAGCCAAACTAACCAAAATAACGAAAACTAAATGCAATTAGGCCTTAATAAATGCGTTTGATGCTTGTGAAGGCATTATTCCAACTCACCAATAATAATTCAGAAAATACTACCACAAAAGACACGTATGTCTTGGCCTTTCGCCGTGTATAACACCCTCTTAAACCAAATCAACTGACAATACACCATAAGCACATCACAGCATTCCTCAATACGAAGGTGCCATGCCATTGTGCATCAATCATATTCAAAGTTTATAGGTCCAACGAAAGAGTCCAAATTGTTGAAACTACAGGTCACTTCAACACTATCAGTTTGGATGATCCTGCTTTGGTTTGTGTCAGAATCAAGTCATCGGTATGTATAAATATAATGTCCTAATATGGAGTTTATCTGAATGAATCATTGTAACTTGCAACAGTTTTAATCCTAGAATCATTTGTAAGGCTTATAACCTGATAGTTCAGAATTGCACTTTCCTTAAATACTATTTCCACCTAGAATTGTTTCCCATGTACTAGCTATGATGTAGGTCACATTCAAATGACTCAAGCCCTGACAACAACCTCAAACAAAGCAATGTTTTTGCTTAAGGTTCAATTAAAACCTAGTTTCAGGGGTCATAGCAAGCTGGGTTTGCATCCAAACAGAGCAAGATTGGGTGAAGAAAATCTGTAACTAGTATCTCATAGCTTACACAAAATTTAGCAATCAATGTGTGTAACAATAACAAATTCAATCAACTCCATTGTCTCTAATATGGTCTTCATGTGAGGTGCAATAGGAAAACTAATTAAAAGGACCAAGACATTTAAGGTTTGATCCAAAGAAAGATTGGCTGATGGAACAGGGAATATAAAAGAGTCCTTGGATGAACTGTGTTATAGAAACTGCGCTATCTTGAGTGACTCCCTATTTCATGGAGTGCAACTTTTCTTATTAGCGATGGATAAGTGATACTAGTCGGCTTTTATTTATTTCTTTTCCCACTTTCTAGTACTTCCTTCAGTTCTCTCATTCTCCAATTTATTATCAAATTTGTCTCTCCCATAAGTTCCCCAGAAAATAGTCCTATCTTGGTTTCTAGGTTGCCCAACATCATATCACATACCAATTGTGCAGCATAAAATAAGAATCAACCACTTCTATGCTATTTCTAACTCTTCTATGCTATTTCTAAAAAACCAGAAGTTTTACATGGTTGTCTCATTTTTAACAATATGTCTTGATGACATACTTCGATAGCATCACATTATGAAGCAAGGACACTTACAAATCAGACATACAAGACAATACGGACAATTTAGCATGGTGATTTATATATTTTTTTAAATCATGGCACGTGGCATGGACAACGATCATGAATTCTTCATTTTTACGTTACAATCAAAATAGAAAGAAATCATTTTGCACATTACCCAAATTACATATTAAACGAAGTACGTATCATAAACAGAAATAAAACACTTTGAACTTGGTCACATAAAATTCTCATAACAAGAAATTGAATGCGAACAACAACAGAATCCAAAAATTAGGAAGTAGCTATTATGAACAACAGAACAACTAGATTTTATTAATCACATGTCAATAGCCAACACAGAATTAGAAAGTAAAATATAACTGTTTCTTTGCTCCAAAAACAGATCCAAAGAACACAAACCCACAAAACATACAGTCACAACAACAACCATAACACAAATACCATCCTCATCATTATCAAACTAAACATGAATTTTCAAAACAATTATGTTTTCAGATCTGTTATTTCTTGTTGTTGCTTTTACCTCCGGCATTGCCTGCGGCCCCTGCAGCCTTCTTTGCAGCCTTCTCTTGAAGCGCTTTCGCATCCCTATATATACATAACAATAAACAAAACAGAAAACCCTAATCAAGATTAAAATTTAGGATTAAAATTTAAACCTTTCACGTAACAATAAACAAAATTGAAAACCCTAATCAAGATTTAAATTTAGGATTAAAATTTGAACCTATCACGTAACAAGAAACAAAACAGAAAACCCTAATCAAGATTTAAATTTAGGATTAAAATTTGAACCTTTCACGTAACAATAAACAAAATTGAAAACCCTAAAAAAGATTTAAATTTAGGATTAAAATTTGAACATTTCACGTAACAATTAAAAAAACAGAAAACCCTAATCAAGATTGAAATATAGGATTAAAATTTGAACCTTAAAACTGAAAACCCAAATCAAGATTGAAATTTAGGGTTCAAAATTGAACCTTTCGCGACGCTGTTCAGGGGTCAAGCCATCATCTTTGCCCTTGCCTTTGCCGCCGTTTCGAGCCTGAGCTCTTTCGCGATCACGTTCCCTCTGGTTACCGCGTTAGATCAAGAATCAAGGAAAAAAACACAAGAACCAATCGATATATACATATGTATATATATATAACATATACCTATATATACACAATCAGCGAATCAATAAATTGGAAACATCCAAGTTGCGAATCATACATGGATTTTTGGTGAATTGATTTGAGAATTGAATAGTGAATTGATGAGATGAAAAGAAAAAAATCAACAATGTTGATAATTAAAAAAAAATAGATAAAAGAAAATTGAAAGAAAGGTGATTTGGGATTTGGGATTTTGGGTTTTCGATTTGAGAGGATATGAGTCATCGTTAAACTGCCGAAAGGTTCGCCGCTGTTGAAATTCTTCACACAAAGAGGAGAGAGATGTGATGTGTGTGGTTGAAATTGAAGAGCCTCTGGTTTTTTAGAGAGAGACTACGCTATCAAATGTTATATTCGCCCTGTTCGGTAGGGCTTCTTTTTAATTTATTTTAATTTTTAGTTTAATTTAAATTATTTTGATATATGTGGTTCGATTTAATCATACATTTTATATTTTTTTGTAAGTTAAAAATTAATTTATTCTTTGAGTAGGAGATGAGAAACTTAATTTATAAGTCAAAAATCAACTTATGTTCACAGTTATAAGTTATAAACGGTTAAACTATAAGTTATAATCACTTTCCCACAGCTCTACCAAACAGGGCCATTAGGTCTGTTTGGTAGAACTTATAAGTTGCTTATTTTAATTTTTAGCTTAATTTAAGTTAAAATGTTGTGTTTGGTGTAACTTAAGTTAACCAGCTTATATCTTAAATTAAGCTATTTCTCAACTTAACTCAAAAGCTAGTCAGGGGTGCTTAAATTTTTGACTTAAACGCGCAGTTGGTGTAGGGGCTAAAATTACTTAAATGCCCTCGTCAATACCCAAATTTTAATATTAATATTAATTAAAAAAGAAAAAATTGTATATTTCTGAAGAAAAAGAAAAAAATCAATATTAATTAAAAAATAAATTTTATTTTAGTTTTTAGTTTAATTTAAATTATTTTGATATGTTTGGTTTAACTTAATTATATATTTTATATCTTTTTATAAGTTAAAAATTAATTTATTCTTTGAGTAGGAGATGATAAGCTTAATTTATAAGTCAAAAATTAATTTATGTTCACAGTTATAAGTTATAAACTGTTAGACTATAAATTATAATCACTTTCTCACAGCTCTACCAAATAGGATCATTAGGTCTATTTGGTAGAGCTTATGAGTTACTTATTTCAGTTTTTAGCTTAATTTAAGTTAAAATGTGGTGTTTGGTATAACTTAAGTTAACCAGCTTATACCTTAAATTAAGTTATTTCTCAACTTAACTCAAAAGCTGGTCAGGAGTGCTTAAATTTTTTACTTAAACGCGCAGTTGGTGTAGGGGCTAAAATTACTTAAATGCCCTCATCAATACACAAATTTTAATATTAATATTAATTAAAAAAGAAAAAATTGTATATTTCTGAAGAAAAAGAAAAAAATCAATATTAATCAAGGTTCTGAAAAGCCGTTGCAGTTGCCGTAACGGTGGCGGTGGCGCGGTTGCGATTGCGGGGTGTAAAGGCCGTAGTGTAACGGTTGCGGTAACCGAAACCGTGAATTTTTTTATTTTTCGCACAATTTGAAAAAAACTTACCGATACGCATATTTTTTTTCCATGATCATATTTATTGGGTTAAAAATAAATATTGATAAATTTTTGTAAATTTTTAAGTATGATTCAATATATTTCATATTTTTAAATCACTATAAACTGAGTTTTTTACATTTTATTTTAATAATTAATGACTTTATATTATACGAAAAGTCAATCACTAACTATTATATATAAGATAAACAATGACAAAAGTAAGAGAATAAATAAGAGCCTAAATATATATATACTAGTGTATGCCCGTGCCTAAAGGCACGGCGTAAATAATGGTAAATCATACCCAAACAGTGACTTAGGCTGTAAGTCACTTAGGTTGCCACAAAACCAATGAAGGTTGCGGACCATCTATACCCATCTCTAATTTATTGCTTTTAAATAAGTGACTGGTTATTGCTTGTAAATCATACACCAACCTCTTCCAATACAAACTCAAATCCAAATCATACCCAAACACATACTTAATCAACAAAAATAAAAAATCACACAAACCAATATTTCAATGAAATGGGTTTTGAAACCCATTTCAAAACCATCAAAAACAAATTTTACCCTAAAGGACTACAAAAATCCAACTCAATGCCAACCTTAAGTCTCACAACAATACAATGTAAAATATCATAAACCCACAAAAAGAACACCATCATCCTGTTTACTGTCTTTGGGTCCATGAAAAATTTACACACTCATTTGTTCAAGATCATTATCATCAACAACAAATCATATTTGTTCTTCGATAACAACACAATTACCAAATCTTATATGTTCATCATCATCATAAAAAAAACCTTAAATTTATTTTAAATTGTAAAGTACTTAAATTACCCTTCTTTTATAAGATAAATTTATTTGAATATTATATTGTTGACTTCACGGTGAGATTTAAGAAACCGAATTCACAGTGGAGATTTTGTCGAAGATTGCAGTGGAGTTGACGAGAAATTTGTTTGAATATTATATTGTTGACTTCACGGTGAGATTTAAGAAACCGAATTCACAGTGGAGATTTTGTCGAAGATTGCAGTGGAGTTGACGAGAAATTTGTTTGAATATTATATTGTTGACTTCACGGTGAGATTTAAGAAACCGAATTCACAGTGGAGATTTTGTCGAAGATTGCAGTGGAGTTGACGAGAAATTTGTTTGAATATTATATTGTTGACTTCACGGTGAGATTTAAGAAACCGAATTCACAGTGGAGATTTTGTCGAAGATTGCAGTGGAGTTGACGAGAAATTTGTTTGAATATTATATTGTTGACTTCACGGTGAGATTTAAGAAACCGAATTCACAGTGGAGATTTTGTCGAAGATTGCAGTGGAGTTGACGAGAAATTTGTTTGAATATTATATTGTTGACTTCACGGTGAGATTTAAGAAACCGAATTCACAGTGGAGATTTTGTCGAAGATTGCAGTGGAGTTGACGAGAAATTTGTTTGAATATTATATTGTTGACTTCACGGTGAGATTTAAGAAACCGAATTCACAGTGGAGATTTTGTCGAAGATTGCAGTGGAGTTGACGAGAAATTTGTTTGAATATTATATTGTTGACTTCACGGTGAGATTTAAGAAACCGAATTCACAGTGGAGATTTTGTCGAAGATTGCAGTGGAGTTGACGAGAAATTTGTTTGAATATTATATTGTTGACTTCACGGTGAGATTTAAGAAACCGAATTCACAGTGGAGATTTTGTCGAAGATTGCAGTGGAGTTGACGAGAAATTTGTTTGAATATTATATTGTTGACTTCACGGTGGAGGTTTCGTCGGAGATTTCAGTGGAGTTGACGAGAAAGATTGCTACGATCGTATAGTTTTCGTCGGAGATTTCAGTGGTGTTAGAGTGTGTTAATCGCGTAGATTTTCAGTGGAGTTGAAACATGTATGTTTTCGATGGAGATTCCACATGCATTTTGATTTTTGTTTTGAATTTTCGTTTAGAGAGAAGCCAGCTTGATAGAGTTGATTTTTATTTTTGGAATTAATTTTTTATTCTCTGTTTTTTAATAAATTTCAAAGAGTGTTGACAGTGTGTTGATCGCGTAGATTTTTGAGTGAAGTTGAATCAGGCTTGTTTTCGATTTAGATTCCACATAAATTTTGATTTTTGTTTTGAATTTTTGTTTAGAGAGAAACCAGCTTGATAGAGTTGATTTTTATTTTTGAAATTAATTTTTCATTCTTTGTTTTTTGATCAATTTCAAATAGTGTTGACAGTGTAGTTGATTTTGATGTTTAGAGTTCATTTTTCGTTCTCTGTTTTTTATCAACATGCTGATCAATGATAAGTTTTATTCTATGTTTTTTCAAACCAGAGAAATTTTATTTTCTACATTTTTGTTGGTATAGTCCAGAGAAAATTGTAAGTTTGTTATTATAATCCAACGAAAATCACAGAGAAAATTATAAGTGCATATGGACATATTATTAGAAGTTTCTAATGCAGATAGAATCTGAGAAAGTGAATGTAAGTTTATAAATTTCTCAGAATTTTTATTTGTAGTTCAAAGAAAATTATAAGTTTGTTACTCACTTTCAATTTGTAATTCAGAGAAAATTATATGTTTGTAGAAGATGAATAGAAGTTTTTGTTTCTCTAAGCAAAAGTTATTTTTTGTGTTTTTTCTTTCAATTTAGATAAACAATGCAATGCTTTTTGTTATCTTAAAGGTGTATATAAGTTTGTAAATTTCTCTGAATTTTTCTATGAATGCAATATTGCAGAATGACGCATAGAAAATTGTTAGCTTGTAGTGAGGTGAAAATCACAGAGAAGCCTATAATTTCATAAGAGATATTCTGTGTGATTTTTTTCTATGATTGTGTTTAATAGTTAGCAGTAAATTTCTCTATGATTCTCTCTGGATTCATTAAGTTTCTATGTTTTTGTTTTTTGTCATATTGAAGGTGAATATAAGTTTGTAGATGTCTTTGGACTTTCATTTTAAGTCCAGAGAAAGTTATAATTTTTAGAAATTTTTCTAGACTTTTATGTTATTCTTGTGAAGTGTTTTTATGTTAAACAAATTATTTTTCTTATTTTTTCTTTCAGTTTCAATGGACAGTGCAGTGTTGTTGCTGTGCAAATATAAGAATGATACTATTGTCATTAATGTTTCATGCGAATTGAATTTTGAGGAATTGGTTGGCATTTTGTGTAAAACATGGAAGAATTTGAAACCTAAGACTATGTGTATTTCATATTCTATTGTGGGCCATCCGAATTGTATGGTTCGAAATGATATTGATTTTCTGAATATGTTGAGGGTTGTTTGTGCACGCGGTGTTGATATAGTTGATGTTTCAGTTACTAGATGTAGTACTTCTGATGAAGATGATGAAGTGGGGTCTAATTGGGTAGATGTTGTGGATAGTGAGTGTGATAGGCTGGTGGATATTGAAAGGAATTCACTCTCTAAGTTTTGTTCTCACCAAGAAAAGGTGTTATTGTCAGTTGGTTGGCGAAATAATATTGCGAGTGTTGGGCAAAAGTTTGAGGGTGGTGTGATTGAGTTCCGTACTTTTTTATGCAAATATGCTATTGAGATTGGTTTTCAGTTTATGTATGTTAAAAATGACAAGCTGAGGGTTACGGCAGAATGTGCATACAAGGAATCAAGGGGATGTATGTGGCGTGTACATGCTTCAGTTGAAAAAAAAATGAGTTCTTCTACATAAGGACTTTGAACAATGAACATACGTGTGGTGTGGCGGTTCGTATGAGTAAACATGTTAGGATGACTTCCAGCTTAGTTTCTGGGCTGATA